TAACTTTTATTAATGAGCTTGGCGGACATATTTCTGGCCTAATTACCAGGGTGCACCCCCAAGAAGCTATGGCACATTTGCGAGTCCATTTTGTCAATCCAATCAGTCATTTTGTAAGTAACAGTGCCCTCTTGTGGTGAGATTGTTTTCTTTCCGGATTCAATTATTATTGTGATTACTTGGTTGGATGTTCATTACATGTTAGTGTTTATTCATTCTTTGTTTTTCTTTATTGTAGTTGACGTGACATCAGGCAGCTGTAGTGGCATCATTGAGAACAGTTGTATGTCAGTGTCCATTCAGAGAAAAGAAATAAACAAGCAAAGTGTTTCTTTTAAAACCAACGTTACAATGTAGTAGCTTCCAATGTCAAAATGACTTGTTGGTTTTGATTCCAATTCAAAGGCTCAACAAATTGACATGTTGGATGCTGTCCTGAGAAGTACACATTTTCTCTTGAACAGTAACTCAATTTCAAAGTAGATATATACATAGCATGACATTCGAATGAGTACCCAGAGGTTAGATGTGGCAGTTACTGTGGAAGAGAGATGCCGAAATCAGCAGTCTCGCATCCCCCAGTTTCAATCACTCTAACAGCTTAGGGTTGTTGACTACAAATTTGAGGTGGGAGCCATGCTGACTGATGAAATGATCACCCAAACTTTAAGAACTAACCCTGGCATGAAAATTTCCATCTACTCCAAGATGTCTAAGGATAGGATCTTTGAAAAAAATTCACTATAGGTACTCTTTTCAAATAATGCCATCATTTAACTGTTGGTGTTTAATTAAATTGCAACATTAGTTATGCCCTGTAGCTTTGGTTCCCTTCAAAGTTGATATACATGCACTACGATTAGCCACAGTGGGAAATGACACTGGCTTTGATACGTGTATTCTTAACAGCTGTAGTATCAACTGTTTCAATGAGCCCCAACTCTTTCTTGTCCACGTACAAGGTTGAAATGTCTGTTGTTTTATTCATCATCATCTTCCTCCTCATCTTCACTTTCCCCTGCATCCTCCTTTTCTTGCTCGCCGTCGCTTCCCTCGTCCTTCTCCTGTGCTGTCCTGTAACATGTCGAATCTGTCACTTCTGAGGTCTTCAAATCCTCATATGTCCCGTCATTTGACCAAAAAGCCAGGAGATCAATCTTGAAGTTCACCATCGTGTTGCCAAGAAGTTTCTACAAAACATTCAGAAACTTTACACCTTGAATCTCCCTTTATCGAAAAATTCAAGACATAATTTAAATTTATATACATGTAGAGTCGGTCTGACCTACACGTAAGGCCTAAATTATTATGAAGTAAGGCAGTAACAATTTCTCCTCTCAACTCTCTGCCAACTTCGCAAATCTTTATCAAACGATATGTAGCAGGAGTGGTTTTGGGCAAAGACTCTGTAGGGAAACAGACAAAAAAGTTTGCCAATGTCTGTGTTTTAAAGCTCAAGCTGTCTTGGAGAGTTTATATTTTCGTCAAATTGTCAGTTGAGATATTAACCTCTGGTACTGGATTCAGTGCTGAAATCTGGAATATCAAGCTAAAGTAATTATCTGGATTTTTGGGGTGTGTGTGAAGAGCTGAAACCTACCAGTATCCTTGCCTGCTCTGGTGTAAGTGGTTCACCTTCTTTACACACTGTATGCTCAGCAACCAGTGTAACAACACCTAAACCAACAAAAAATGGGATCATTTGTCAATCAATGAACCATACTGATATATTGAAGAGAGTTTTCAGAATAAAGTTTTCTAGCATTTCCCACCATGATTTGCTCATTAGGAATATAGAGAAAAAGTCAAACAAGTCAAAAAATCTGAAGAGAAATGAACTGAGAAGTGCAGAAAAGATTCTTTGTTGGGCTGTTCATCATCTATCAGTTGTCCCCCAACAAAAATAGGGGGAAACTGGTAGGATACTGACCTTTCTTGAGTAATGTTGGTAGACCCAGCTGCCTGAGATGAGGCTCCATAGAATGTGTGAATTGGGCCAGTGGTCCCTGCTCTAGAACCACCGTTGACTGGGCAACATTTCCAGATCGGGCAAAATCTGGTTCCACATATTTGTCAAACCACCTTCAAGAGAAGCATTTGATCATGAAAACTGTACAAATTTAAAATTTTTGTCTTAACCTTGACTGTTAAAGCACGTTTCCTTTAAATCTTCCAGACGATTCCAAAATCATCCAATATGCAGGAAACCAATGAGATATTCTTTGTATTCGTAATTTTGCAAAAGGCATCACACCTAATGCAGGCA